TTTTACCTCTTGTATTCTCTGTGGCTCTTTTGAGTGAGGTTGGCCACAGTTGCCATCACCAAATTTAGATGAGAATCAGTAAGATAAAAATCTCATTCTCTGGACCCTGTCATTATTTCCTTAACAATCTTTGAAGTAAAGGATTTGTTCAGAAGACAGATGGAAACACTTATTTGTGTTTGGGAGGCAGCAAAAGAGAATTTTGCAGGTGTGTACTTCTCAAATTAATTTGGTTATTGACAGAATTAGTGTATATGTTCTAGATGGCTAAATAATATTTATGCTGTCCTATGAGTCCTCCAGAAGTCCTTTAGGAGAACAGTATAGCCCATACAAAATAGCACAGAATCTTTTTTTCCCCTCTTGTTCCCGCTCCCCACTTTTTTAAACATTATTTCCCATTACAGATGCTAAAGTTTGAAGTAACTTGTTTTCCTTAAATTCTGCTTGGATGCTTTGAAACATTAAATTTCAACTTTTCAATTTTAAATCTCCAATTAAAAAAAAAAAATCATATAATAACCACTTAAGGTAATTACTCAAATGTTTATGATCCCACTGTCTAAATTATATTGGGCCATTTGTGAAACATATGAACCGAGAAACACCTTGGTAATTTAAGCCAAATGAAGCATAACATCATCATTTTCTCAAGTAGTTCTGATGCATCTCTGCATTCCATGAACAAAATGAAAATTCAAGATACCACGTAGCATAGGAAAAGGAAAAAGGTCTTGTGTTATATGAGAAAACCTACAAGGCTTATATTCTCTCTAAAAATACAGATGTAAAAGTAACATATATTAAATTGATGCAAGTTTTAACTAGGTGGTAGATAAGATTCTTAAAGCTAGGTTTCACATATTAGCAGTCTATGTCAAATTCTCTGAAATCTAACGTTAGAATATTCTACCTCAGTTTTTTATTCTATTTTTAAGATTTTGATGACTAGTCTTTCCATACTTGTAATATAATGTTCTATATTAGAGCAGAAATATTTCACAAGATTCTCCTAACTGATAAAAAGATTGTGTTGTAATTTACCTGTAATTTAAACTGGTTTAATATTGAATTTGTACAGGAAATCTCAAATTACAATGAGAAAGAGAGTAAGAAATCAGAATATTGCTGTTATTTGCTTTTTTTTTTTTTTCAAGTGGACTTTGAAAACTGTTGTTCTAGTTAAACAACATGATGTCCTCATGACCTGAGGTTGGTTTGATGAATAAGCATTTCTTCAGCTCTCATGTCATTGCAGTATCTGAGCAGCCACCTCATCTGCCTTGGATACCTACTTCTGTAGTGGGCAGTGCAATTCTGAATGAATAAACTTCTGGGCCAGAATCCAGACCAGAATCTTCTAAGTTACATAAACATGGAGATCACCAGAAGATTGCCCTGTGTATCAGACTCAGAGGGAATGGCATAAAGACTGCATCAGTAAAGTTCAGATCAGTTGTACTGAGGAGAGTGAGATTTTAATACTGGCTGCTGCATTGTTGAGCCTCAAAATGTTTGAATTTGGTTTGCTAGCTTTAAGACCATCCTGAACCTGATCATTCTGAAATGGAAGATAGCATGTTTTCTATTTTCCTTGGCTTTTCCTTCAGCCTCTGAGATTTAAGCAAACTCCATAAGGTCTGAAAGGTCCTAAGGCCTATAGGAAAACATCTCCTTCAATAATTATTGCAAAGGCCAAGACAACCAGCTAAGGCAAAAGTGGCTTACTTTTTGTCAGGTCACGCTAAGGGAAATATCTCCTACCATAGCATGGCCATTTATCCACATGTCAAGCCCCAATTCCCAAGTGAAATATTACCTTGGCTTAGCAGTGGGGCAAATGATCACAGAGGGTTGGTCCTGGGGGCTACAGTTCTTTGTTAGAAAAGCTCATGGGGTTTTCTCTTCTTGTCCCACAGCTGCAGATGAAAGCATCCAAGTGCGTGAGCACCGACAGTTCCTGTCCCGCTCCATGTGCAACTTAAACATTGTCCCTGGAAAACGCTACCTCCTCATGGGGAAGGATGGCCAAACAGTTGATTGCAACAACAAGTAAGTGCAAAGTGGTGTCTGGGCAGCAGCAGCTGGATACCTCCAGAAAGGCAGCACCAAATTTCTCAGAGACTGATTCTGCTGGATTTACTGAAATGCAAAGTGTTCCACTCCATAGCAAAAGGGGAGCTATGGAGAAGAGCTGAGCCACCCAAATCTATTGGCTCATGGATCTGTGGCTCCCAGACTTCTGGTTCCTAGACTTCTCAGCATCAAATCTTGCCCTGGTTCCCCTGGGTTAAAATCTCACAGCTAGAAAAGGAGAAAAACACCTTAAAAATTCCCATTCCCATCTCTATATGACAGCAAAGTGAGTGCCTAGGCCAGTGACCTGCTTCAAAAGAAGCCTGATAGAGACTGGGGTATCCCAGCAGAGGTTTAATCTCCAACATCATCTCCATGAAGATATTCAGGCATGAAATACTGGAAGTTACAAGGCTTCTCATTACAGAAAATTAGAAAATATTTTGGGATACTCTGTTGGAACTAAACTTCCCCTCACTGTCCCACTGGTGTAAACTTGGGCCTTTTGTGTCATTCTGGAAACTCTAACAGAAAGTTAGCCCAAAATTACCTGACATACACAAAACACAAGTACAGCCAGGTCTGTCCCAGCTTGGCACTGACACTTCCCAGACTTTGCTCACAGCTCAGTTAACCTGCTGGTGAAAGCAAGTTTCAGGCAAGTTTCTTGGCTAGCATAACTCTTGATTTCAGAGATGCCTCTGTGGAGGGATGAAGCAGCTCAGGGATTACATATTCCTGTAGCTCCACGTCAGGAATAACGACTAACCTTCTTTACCTATCCCATCTTCACTCAGGATGCAATACTTACTTGATGCACAAGCCTGGGTGGAGAAAATTCCAGAGAGCAGTGAGTGCCGCAGCACTCTGCGCCGGCAGAGCTGTGCTCACCTGCAGGACTTCCTGAGCACCTCTGACAGCCTGTGCCATGTGTGAACGATGGCTCTGACCCCCACATCTCTCTGTTGGACTGCAGCTTACCTTCTGCCAGAATGCTTCCTGCAAAGCCTGTGTATCCCAGTGGCGCCTGAAACATTGCAGGGCTGCTTCCATTGCTGTTTCACTGACTGGGGTATCCTCTTGTGGATGTGTGTGTGGGTAATACAACAAAAATGCAGTTCTCCTACTAGTTATTGTGCTTATTGTACCTCTCACTGGGGGAGAGAGAGCAGGAGTTTCTGTCTCCTTGAGCTATTATACAACAGTGCAATTATCTTGCAGAGAGTCAAAAGAAAAACACATTGTGCATTGCCTGATTAATTCCTGCAGTTCTGGGCAAGAAAAGAATTATTTTTAAAAATGTCAAGACATTTTCATGGGTCGAAAACAAAACTGGGCACTCATGGGCTTACCTGCGTTACACTGCTGCTGAAAAAAAAGAGATACCAACACTAATGCTTCAACACATCAGCTGGTGTCTGGTTGTAACTGTGAGTCCTGCTGACCCCAGGGCTGGATTCCATACACTTTTAAAGCTGGAACTAGAAATGGTACACTGAGCATGTTCTGTGCTGGACTCAGGAGTCTTCCACAGGCTTGTTAGGCTGGTAGCTCACTGAGAGCACAGGATTGCTTTTAAATGTGTTCTGTAGCCACATGTCTTTCAAGCTTTTCCTTTTCTAGAGTTTAACTCAAAACCACTCTTTTCTTAGGATAAGTAATAGTCTGTGGAAAATGTTAACACTGTAGAAATGGTAACACTGATAAGCAGATGACTTTCAACTGCAGGTTTTGCTTCTTTAGCTTGCCAGTAAAATGGCATTTGGCAGTCATGTCTGAAGCAGAGAACTGGGTAGGTCACCATCCTCAGATGCTCGTATCACTACTTGTGCCAGCAGCTACTGAGCACAAACATTTGCCACCTGGACTGCTTCTGCTACACCCCAATAAATATAAAAAGGGCCTGTATCAATGATAAGATAATTAGTAGGTCCATGCTGAAGTGGCGAATTTGGAGTCAAATGACCCTACTGATAGAAAGGGCAACAGTGATGCTCATGTGGCCAAGACATTACACTGCAGCACCACCTACCAAAACAGCTCCATCACAAAAAAATTCAGATTCACAGAAGACAAGTCGTTGCTGTGTGCCTGAACTGTGAACTGAACAGCTATCTTTGAAGGCTGCAAACTCAAATTTAGCATCAGCTGAACCTGGATATCAGCAACATCTTCCTCTCAGCTGGCAAGCATTGCTTGAATGGAGGGTAGGGAAGGCTCATTTCAGGAAAACCTGCATGACTGCTTCATGACATGTGTAAAGGAAGATAAGAAACCTACTGAAGGTGTAAGACAGACACTTAAATTGACAGAGGACCTCGAGGCTTGCCCCAGCTTTCGCATTTATGAAATGTGATTGTAATGCCTAGTCATGCTTTCTCTTTACTTTATTACACAGCTTATATAAATGTCAGTGATAGGGTAAAATGCAGCTGAGGTCAGTAAAGCAAGTACTAATTTCTATTAACAGAATAGTAATAGGCTGTTCCACTGACATACCCATTATCCAGTGATTCTGCCAATATTTATGGAAGAAAAACCTCTAAGGTTAAGAGCCAAATCCTTCCTCTCCACTCCACAGGGCTTGAGTTAAATACCAATGTCTGACCCTTCTGCTGTGTAGAGTATATCAACAGCTCAGAGATTCTTGCCTAGCAGACAAATCACCAACTAATTGCAAGACTCGAGACTCTGTAAAGTGTGGTGGAAGCATCATTAAAATTTTATATTAGGTCTAACATACATTTTACATATTTTCTTCCTTTTTACTTGCAGGTGAGTTTAAGCTGGAACTGCTTAGTGTCTGAACTTTGTAAATGCAGTCTCAATGTGGGAGCTGTTTGTGATTATTAAACTTATTTTACTCTTGTTTTGCGAAGAGAGGACCCAAACATGCTTCTACTTTAACTCTGCCAATCAGGAAAAGCTTTAAATATCTCTGGCCTAGGAGCAAGCATAGAACAGTCTCTATCCCCCAGTACTTTTCTTTCCCAAATTCCCAAACATATTTATAGGGAGAGGGAAGACAATGGAATTATTCTGTGCTGCCACAGCTGTTAACGTTTGCAGGTAACGCAGTGGCAGACCTGCTGGAGACTCAGTCAGCACCATGGAGGCCTTCTGGAGAGCTTTGGAAGCATTCCTTTCTCCTTCAGCTGCCACAACCTGCAAAGGAACAGAAATGGAAATGCTGCCCATAGTGGTAAAAATCCAGCTTTATAATGAGGAGAAAACAAACTAGCTTGGATTCCTGGAACCATAGGACAAGAGGAAATGGCCTTTAAGTTACCCCAGGGGAGGTTCACATTGGATATTAGGAAAAAAATTAAGTTGTAAAGCACTGGAAGAGGATGCCCAGGGAAGTGGTGGAGTCACTAACCCTGGTGGTCATTTAAAAGGTATGAGATATGGTACTTAGGGACATGGTTTAGTGGTGGACTTGATGGTGTGGGGTTTAAGGGTTGGACTTGGTGATCTGAGAGGTCTTGTCCATCTTAAAAATTCTGTGGTTCTGTGACAAGGAAATGAAAAGCTGGAGGTGGACACTGTCATGGGTCTCACCTTAGCTTTTGTCTCTCGAGCAGCCTCTGCTTCAGCTGCTATTGCCCTCTGCATGGCCATGGGGATCCGGATGTCTTTGATGTCCACGCGGGCCACTTTGACTCCCCACTGCTCCGTGGCACAGTCGAGGGTAGCCTTGGGGACAAACAACACGCCAGGAAGAGCACAGTGCTGGCAGAGGGAAAACCATGTGGTGTACCCTGCTGGGACAGAGGGACAGGGCAAACCTGCACAGCAGAAAGAGATGCTCCAGGGGCACCAGCACCCAGCATGGGGTGTGCACAGTGGGTACCACAGCATCATCAAACACTTGCTGGTCAACACCAGTGTCTCCTGTGTGGCTTCTCTCCTGCTTCCTAAACTATGAGCCCCATCATTTCCTTAGGTGGACACTTAGTAAACTTCTTCTTTTACAAAGAAATACTACAGCAACTTCCTTAAACAGCGCAACAAGTTAAAAATACACTATGAGTGAGACACAAGATAGCCCTGCAGCACTGGCAGACTGCTCTGTGCTCTGGCTCCTGGGCACTCCTGCAATCCACACCACCACCATGACCCTGTCTCTGCCCATGGACACTATTCTGGCTGCAGAGGATAGAGTCTCTCTTTGGTCTGACTATGCCTTGTCTCTGACTGAAATTAGTAAATCAGTTGTTGGATTTTTCCTCTGCCCTCTCCTTGGCTGCCAAACCAAAAAGGAAACCAGATGGCATTTTAAAGCATACAACAACTCTGTTTTGTACTCTTAGTTGTAATGACAGGAGATACAAGTCTTGCTTCAATCAAGGGTCTGCTCAAGACAGAGCTTCCCACGAGCAGCAGACCTCTTTCTCTATGTTTGCAGCTGCCTCTGTGCAAGGGCTAAGCTGATTTCAGAGTTTTCAGAGTTTTAATTGCTTTTTGATAGAGATAATTCTGCTACAAGAGCCTGGGGAAATACCTTTAGAATAACTCTTTCTGACTATAAGCAATGAGATGTATAATTGAAAAGAAACCATGAAAGAAGATTTTGCTGAAGAAAGAAGGCTTATTTCTAATTTGCTACTCCCCAGAAGACATCTCCATGCTTGTGAATTTTGAGTGCCAGTTTTACCTGGATACTGTGTGCAATCGCCTCACGACCTGCCAGCAGCTGAGCCAAGCTCTGTGTACCCAGAACGTTTCTCAGGGTTGTCTGTGCCAGCAGCAAGGTGGCAGAGTGGACATCAGTGACGTTGGCAACTGCACTGACAGCGCTGTGGATCCTGTAGCGCACCACGCCATCCACCTGGGCAGTAACAGCATCTCTCGTGAGAATCTGCATTGGAGAAATGCACACAGTCACAGAAAGATACAATAACACATCAACACATCCTTTGCCTAGGAAGGGGAATATATCGATTTTTTTTAACCCTTAGTGAGTAAAAGGCACTGATAATTCAAAGAAACTAAGAATTTCTTTTGATATCTTTGTCATTCCCCCAAGAAATTACTTCAAGAGAGCTGTCCAGCATTAACAACATTTAAACTGGAGGAAAATGCTTTACATACCCTCTAAATAACTGCTTCAAAAGTAAGTGAATCTCATCCTTTGAATTAATTTCTTTCACAATAATAAATGATGGCTATCTTCTTCCTTTCTTGTAGAAAGGTCCATTAATGAGTTTATACATTTCATGCAGCTACTGCATGTGCTACTTCCCCTAAACAAAGTGTTTGTAAGAAACACCAACAAATTAAAACAAAAATAAAAAGTGCGAGAAATTGTGAGAAGAAACTGAAAGAAATATTTAAGCATTCATACCAGAGTTGTCAACTTTTGCCAGACAAGCTCTCTGTGCCTCAGAAGGCAGCTGGCCTCAGTGGAAAACTAATGATGCTCCACTATCACTTCCCTCATCAGCATCTTTTGCCTGCAAGTGAATGCTTCACAAAACCCCTGCCAACTGCTGCAGAAGCCTGGCCAAAAGCTTCTAAGCCTTATACAGCACAAGTTCTGCAACCATCTTCCTCACATTTTGGGGGTGCCATTTTTCATTTCACACCATACACTCCTGCACCCTGTACTCAGAGAAAAGGCTCTTTCTGCTTACTGAAAGATAATAGCCAAAAAAACATCTCCTGGGAAACACAGTAGGAAATTCCGGGGGCCCAAAAGGTTTGGAGCTGCCTCTTCTCCCTCTGCTCTTTGTTTAAAGAAGGGGATAGCAGTGCCAACTCCATAAGCAGAAGAATTGTTCTGCCATGGAGCTGAGGCCACACGGAAACAAACCTTGATCAGAACAAGGTTGTTCAACAACCGATTCTTCAGATTAAGTTTTTCAGTCAAAATTTGCTAATAAAATGCCTGAAGATATATCCTGCTTTGAGGTATCTTGCTTCCTTCATCCATTCCTCCTTGGACCTGAGTTTTGTGGAAACTTTTCTGCTTATTCCTGTTAATTAAATGGAATTTGTTACCCATGGGTAATTTGCCTTTTCAGACACATGTAGAAGGCTCTTTTGAATGGTGAGCTCCATGTCAGATCCAATTTCATTAGGACATTAATTTACAGCTAGGAATTTTGTAGCCCACTCCTCTCTTGTCCTCCCTGTCTCGTTCACACTTGTAACTCCCTTCCCTTATTTTTGAAATCACAGTTCTGAACACCACCTTGACCTGCAATGATGCATCTGCAGATTTTCATTAGGAGAGTCATAGAATGGTTTGGGTTGGAAGGAACCTTAAAGTTCCAACCCTCCTCCCATGGGCAGGCACACTACACTTCCCCTAGACTGGGTTGCTCAGAGCCCCCTCCAACCTGGCTTTGAACACTTCCAGGGATGGGGCACCCATAACTTCTTTGGGCAAGAAGTTGTTTTGTAAGCAGCTGGAAATCCAGAGGATACAGCAAAGAAGTTAAATTCCATATGGTAGCTCAGCGTTGTAAAATTATGAAACATGCATTGTTTTGACTGTGCCACGAATCTGCTGCATCTTTTGTTCCTGTCTTAGATGGCTGCTGGAAAAGTTACCTCTTGTGGAGGAATCTTACAGGTAACCGTCCTAAGATCAACCTTGATAAATGTATCTGTACATGGAAGTACAAGGATCAGTCCTGAAAAATAAAAAATATTAGATGAAACACCTCTGAAACTGAAGTCCAGGTCCAGGTATCCTAGAGAAAATAAACACAGGAAATACCCACAGGATGGGGAATAGCACCCTGCCTTATCACTGCAGCTGTTCTTTCTGCTTACAAGACATGACAACAGTGGTGTTTTACATTCTCAAATAACAGAGGGAAGTGCAAATATCTGCAAATAATGTGGACTCATTACAGCTTAATGACCTAGGACTCTGGTCTGGAAATGGGCAGCTTGAAGCTCTTTACTGAAGTCTACCATCAGACTTTCAGCAGAAATTCCTCCCATGCCTTTAATTTTCCCTTTTTAAATCACAAGCCATGTGTGGTTCAGTATATGTCCTCAGGAAAGACATCACCCAGGTCCAGATTCCTGCACCACATGAGGAACATTGTCCCAAGATGTGACAAATCCTTCACTGGAGAGGGAGACTGAACAAAACTTCTAATATTCTGTTGTAATCTTAGCACATTGCTTTGTTGTCCAGAGCCACAGAGAAGAGCCCTGGCCCTGGCCTAGCTGCTCTTTGGACCACGTGACGACCATTCAAGAGGAAGGACAGTACCTGCAAAGGACTTTTTCCTCTTATTTCAACTTCCAGTTTGCTCATTTCATTGCCCAGAGGTGGTAACCGCACCAATGCAAACTGCCCATGCAGCTGGGTTTGGTTTGTGATTTGTAAGCTGGCCCGAGGGGACTGCAGCAGCCAGGTGTAGCTGCTGAGTGTCCCTGCCCTGACACATTTACCATTTTCAGAGCAGAGGACAGCTAAGGAGCTGACAGTGAGGTGCAAGGAGAGAGGCCACAGTCGCTCAAAGAAGACCGAGGCAGACCTGAACACTCCATTTAAACCTCCCTGCAGTCCCCTGACAGTGTCTGCAGCATGAACTCATCCTTCTGTTGTCCAAATTACTCAGCAGCAAAGTCATGCCTGGTATCAAGGTACTCAAACTTGTGTGCTATGATAGGAGGGTGGCTGTATCTTCTCTTCAGAAAAGTAAACAGTCTGCAGGTAAAGGAACTGCAGTAGAGGAGACCTTCTCATTCCCCTCTATGCTATGAAGAAGGATTTCATGGAACCTCTGCAATTCTCTATGTGGTCTGAGGGCTTTGTAATAACAAACCCAGAGGACTTTAACAGAGTAAAACTGCATGTATTCACCTGGTCCCTTTGCTTTCTTAGACAGTATACGTCCCAGACGAAATACAACAGCACGTTCATATTCTCTGACAACCTAGGAAAATATTTTAAATTTAGAATTTTACAACCAATTCTATTCTCACTCCCTAGTCCTTTAATCTTTGGCACCCATATTAAATGTGAAGAAACAACAAATAATATAGGAAGCAACAAAGCTGCAAATCATTTTCTTCACATCTTCTACTTGACTCATGATTTGTTGGGAAAACTCAGCCCCTGTCCTTGGAAACAGGTTACAAAATAGATCCTAAATGAAAGAATTAACAGTGATCTAAAAATGAACAGCCTAGAGCTCTCTCAACATCAGCAGCACACTCAGAGGAGTTGTAGCAAAGGGGCTCTCACCTCAGGTAATCTAAACTACTTTACTTAGTGCCTCATGCCTACTGAAGGCCTGGCATTCAAGTGATGTTTAACTGGAAATTTAACTGATGATGAATGTTGAGACTGGAAGAAATTAAGTGAAGAAGTTGTGGCAACACAGAACATTTGTCAAAGAATCTGTGCGGATCTTATTTCCAGAGCACATCTTTGCTACAAACCCTTACTATTCCCAAAACATGAATGTGAGGTGTCTTATCCTAACTAAATCAGTAAAATAGTAATGGCAGTGATAATAGAGCATTCTTCACGTGCCTCAGATCCTCCTAGCTTACCTTAATACATGACCAGATGGAAATAGGAAAGGTAATAAGCACCAGGAGGAATGAAAGGGAAACGAGGATCCAGCCACAGACACCAATTCCTTCTTCCCTGTCAGCTATAAAAAATATGAGGAAGAAGAGCAATGAATGCAAAATTGAGGAGTTATCTCAAGGTTGTACATCTAGCCCAGTGCAATCATATAGGATTACAAAGTCCACAGAAACTCCCTCCCTCTTCCTCCCTCCCAACGCTCAAAGAAAGCAATAAAGGACCTAACCAAACATTCAACTTTATGGCCCTTCTGCACAGAAAGTTAAAAAAGCTTCAGAAAACACATTTTGCAATAGGCAAAAAGAGGAAAATGGAAGATATTACCAAAACTAGGGGCTGTGAAGGAGAAATAAATGAATGGGTGGAGCAACCATGATTATGAAACTGTTGGGTGAAGCAAAGGGTTTAGTTTGTGTGAAACAGGTAACAAGGTAAATGAGGGAAACTCCTGATTTCTTTAACGAACATTTTGAGGAATATTCATGGACCAGTCCATATACTGGACCATAAACTTCAAAATTAGTGCTTGTCAAAATGCATGCCTCTGCATTTTAAGCAGTTGTCTCAGTGCGTTCAGCTCATCTCATCCCAGGATTTCATTCTAATGAAATAAAACAAATATAAAACTAATTTCATTATTTTAGTGCCTGAAGGGAAGGCAGTAGTAAGGTAAGTTATTTCAAAGGTGTAGGGCAGGACTGGAAATTTCTGATACCAAACAAAACTTACATGCAGACACAAATGATAAATAGGAAACAATTCAATTTATACTGTGTGAGAAAAAAACCAACTTGTCACACACGACCCTGAAACAGCACGAGTCTCCCAGATCTGTAAGGCACAAGCTGGCAGACCAGCAGAGCAGGACTGACAAGTTTGTCAGAACATTCCCAGCAAGGCTGGGGAAGGAGGACACACAGCACAGCCCTCCTGCAGCCTCTGGGCACGGCTGGGCTGTGCCTGCTCATCTGGATTTTGCATCCAGCCCCAGCTGCTCACAGCTTTGCCCATTCTGCCTCTGAGGCCCTGATGCAGATTGAATTACTCACATGTAAACACATTTGCATTCAGAAGGTCTCCCCGAGAGATGGGCACAGAAGTGGTGCCCCGGGAGCCCAGCTTTCCTCCTCACCCTTCCCAAAAACAGCAGTTTTAAATCCCTGGTTGTTTTATGAGATATCATCGGGCACTCTGCAATCAATGGTAAAATTGATTTGAGGAGCTTCCCTAAGCAAATTACTGTGCACACCTTAAGGCCATGTGTATAAAAACAGGATTATTAGGACTTAGTGTGAAAATCTTTAACCCGTTCACTGCTATCTGTTTTCCACACAGTGTACTTCATATTAGACTAGTGGTGTGTTAGGCTATAATGTTAGGCTATAACAGGTACATAAAGTACCAGCAGTCAAGTGTCTTTTAATCAGTGGGATGATATCAAGGAAAGTCACAGAATAGGCATCATTCATAATTCTTAACCTGAAATCTGAGCATATTAATCATGTTTTGTTCAGCAGAACTCAACATTTTCACTCTCTCTCTTAATTTCACATAAATAACTAGCTTACAAAAATCTTTTGAAGATCTTTTTCTCCAGTGACAATTTTGGTTATGAAGAACCTCCTCAAAGCAATTTTGAGTTGTAGCATCATCTACCATCATCCACCTGAGCCCACTGTGAAGGTGCCTGGTAGAAATGACACAATCCACAGACAGGGGGATTAGATGGGGAAAAAATGCCAGTACTCAGCAGATTGATACTCAAGCAGCTGAGAAGAGTTAGGAGTCAACATATCACCCCTAACCACTATTGACAAAGTACAATTGAATCCTTCTCCACAAAAACTGTCCTAGAGATCCTGGTGCCAGCTAATAATGTAGGTTACAATTAGAAATGGAGAAAATATGAAATTAAAATATGCTTTTGAATGAAACTCCTAGCTCTCCCAAACTACCACAGATCTTCTCTGATTACCCCCAAGTTTCAAACCATTTAACCAAACAACAAATGAAAGACTCCAGAAAAAAATAGTGAACAATCAGTCACAATCCCATGTATCATTGACCTGGGTTTGCCATCCCTGTATATGGATTATAATAGTCATAACCACCAAAAACCTCCCTTGACTGTTTAGTCCAGAGCAAACCAGGAGCTGAAATGCACCACAAAATATGAGAGCTCCTCACTCAGCAGTTGTGGTAAAACTCCAGGGTGCTGCAATTGGATTCACTTCATTTTTTCTTGATACACTCATTAGAGTACATCACAAACATACTTGGTAAACAAACTCATGATGTGGGTTTCATACTTGGAAAGCAAATAAAAAACTCAATGTGGGCAAAAATCTCTCAAGTCTTCTACAGCAACAAAAATAATACTCAACCTCTTCAGCCACCATGTACCGTCCTGCTTTCTACTAGGGGCTGAAAAATTCTTCTGTCTTCCCCAACTATCCTATTTTCCTCTCCCCAGCTCATCCCTCTATACAGAAGTGTATCAATAGCTGAATCAATCTTCTTCATCCATGGGGCCACGTTGGCAGAAGGTAGATGCCCATGCATTCTGGCAGGGCACCATAAGGCAACTTGCTGTGTCTCTCACAGATTCTGAGTTTTCATCTTCAGTCTATGTTGGATACCAAATATAGATCAAATGTACTTTTTTTGTTTGGTTAGTTCAGTTCCTTTTTAATATTATTGAGAAAAAACCCACTTGCACACACAAAACAGGGCTTACCAATTAGATGTTCTGTGTTCATTTTCTTGGATCTCTCCATCCCCTTGGAGGGAAGCTCTGATCCCCTCACAGATGAGACAGCAGCGTACCTTGAAACTGCAGGGCTCATGCAAAATGCTGAAGAAGGAAGCAGGATGAGAGAAGGAGAAATCCCCTGTATGAGAGTCTCCTGGGAGTTAGTTACCCTGGTGAGGAGTGGATGTTTACAAACACCAAGCCTTGTGTCTCTGATGGTACTGGATGGTATTCTGTGGCTGCCCTCTGTCTGGGGTGCACTTGGCCCAGCTGGTCTTAAGCCCCACAAAATACAGTAATTTCTATGTTGGTTTTTTAATCTCTGGTGATGGATTCAAACAAGACAGAAAGATAAAGTAAGTCCTGTGAGGGGCAGCTGAGGTATAGCCTGAAGAAAATAAGGCTCAGGGGAGATCTTAACACTCTCTACACCTGCCTGAAAGGAGGTTGTGGCATAGCGAAGATTAGTCTCTTCTATCAGGAAACAAGCAACAGTATAAGAATAAATGGCCTCAAGCTGAGCCAGGGGAGACTTTAGATTAAATATGAGGAAAAACTTACTTCAACAAAAGAATTGCCAAACACTGGAACAGGCTACCCAGGGAAGTAGTAGAGTCCTTCTCCCTGGTGGCATTTCAAGAAGATGTAGATGTGGCACTTAAAGATGCAGCTTAGTGGTGGACTTGGCAGTGCTGGGTTAATGGTTGAACTCGATCTTAAGAGCTCTTTCCCATCCTATGATGCTGCTCCTCTGCTGTTTTGGAGCTCGACTACTGTTCAGATCTCAAACACCAGCATAACAAATAAACAAAAATCCAGATGAGGACTCCAGACTGTGTAGAATAGCTCACCACACCCATCTTCACACAGTCCATCAGTACAGATTGAGCTCTGTTAGGCTGGACAACCTCAAACCACAGAAGAAGCATTTAAGCTCCCAAGCCTTAAAACTGTCCCTCAAGTAAGAGTATTTTCCACAAAATATTTTGACAATCAAACTAAGTACAGCATTTTGGACTAAGCCATTTCTAAAGGCTGTAGCAGCAGAGGGCAACCCTCTCAAAGGACAAGGCTGTTACTTGTTATTTGAATAAGATATGAGAGGTGTTTTTTTCATATGCAATTTATGAGTTTGACATACAGCTGCATTAATTACAGGGCTGTTTTTTGTGAGCATCTGTTATCTAGAATTTCTGTGAAGATCTGGTTCCAGCTTCACTTCACCCAAGCCTTCCTCTCTGCCAGTAATCACCCTGACCCCAGATGGGTCATTCAAAGCTGATTGTTCCCCAGAGAATCCTTTTTCAGTCTCACAGAGAGGAAACTACACCCCTGAAGTGACATTTTAAATCCCACTGAAAGCCATACGCACAGCTTGAAAAACCAGGATTTATATGCTTATTGCAATATGCTCCCCAACATATGACAGTATTCATTTTAGGCCATTTGTAGCATTTTCCTCATTATCTGACTTCTAAACACTGAGCTGTATGATCACACCTCTTCAGGACAGATGCTTACTATCAGGGTAGCATGTGTGAACAGTGACAAGAGAAATATGGTTCAATTACTTCAGAAGCAAAAACATAGTATGCAAAACTATCCCAACAATATCTTTTCATTTTAGAGAAAAAACAAAGTTATTGAAAATAGCTTAATTCTGAACCGTTTGAATGCCACAATTTAAACAGCTATCCATACCATCAGATAAATGAGGAACACATACTGCAAGTTAACAGACATAATTGTGCCCTGTTTATTGACAACTCCCTGAGGTGACTGTAAATATAGGTGAGTAAAGCAGATGGTGTTTTTTTGTTTCTGTTCAGGAACATCACTATATTTTCACTTAAACTTAAGCCAAACTTTTATTCCCTTTTCAAAATTTTGAAATCAAAGTCAGGGCAATCTTAATGCTTTCTCCTTGGGGCTATACTGGGGCATGTGGAGAACTCGTGTCCCAGAGTACTAGAGAACACTCAGAGATTAAAACACATGAGAGCTCTGGGGCAAAGCAGTTTGCAAGCTCCAAGTTCTCTGGTGCTGAACAGCCTGGTGCACTCCTGTGACACAGGGCACAGTCACAAAGACTGAGCTCAAAGCTGCTTCAGCAGAACTTACTGACTTAGAAGCAACATCAGACAACTGTGGTTAGGGCTGCTCGCAGTTCAGCTATTTCTGCAGTTTTGTATTTGTGATATAGATAAAGTCTTCAACTTCTATTCCAAAAGTAGCACAAGGGCTCAGGTCAGGCATGATCAGGAGCTTACCAGTAAGCATCACCATTCTTCAGCATTCCTCTGCACCAAATGCTGCATTTACAAATGGTACCAGTCCTTTACAATGTCTCTACAATGTCCACTTTCTCCAACTTACCTCATCATCCAGTTGTAGAGACTTAATCCACAGCCATTTGTAAACACTGCCAATCCCAAAAGTACAAAGAAGAATCACCAGGCAGTCCCCACATGAGATTTGCAAACAAAGTTGTAGGTTTGTCGTTTTCTGACCCTCTTAGGCCCATAATACTTTCCTTTCCATGTGCTGGGCTTTGCCAGTCCCTATAGATTCCTTGGCTTAGTCTTTTCCTGGCCCTGCATTCTGTCTACTTGCTTCAGGTCCACCACTACTTTTCCCCAGGTCAAAATCAAGGAGATGGGATAGGACAGAGCAGATTAACATTACTGTCCTTTTGCTTATAGGAACATTCCCATATTCCTGCTCCTCCTCATGAAAATGGCATCAGCTTTCAACCACTGAAGATTTGGAGAAGACAGAAGGCCTCCCTTTAGCCACTAGAGTAAACATGAGAGAGTCAAAGGTATTGCTTCTCTATAAATACAGAAAGGAAGGCAATTCACAAGGAAGTCAGAACATTCATACTATGGCAAGTTTCCTTTTGGGCCCAGGCAAACTCCCAACACTCACTTGCAAACCAGAGGAAAAGGACAGAAAATTGCTCTGTTTCTCTCCTATTCACTGCAGCTGCAATTAAAGCACTTGAAAGAAACACTGAAACTTGTTTGCAAACACAACCCCAGTATGTTCTCAGTTGTTGCAAAAATGGTTTTATTTCAAGGAACACTTCACTACACCGCATCTTTGCAGTCTGTCAATACACAAAAAACAGCAGTAATAGGCAACTTGAACAGTGAAAAAAATCAGTTAATTAATTAATTAAGAATTAAGTCATACAGCAAGAGCCCTTTCCTGGCACAGGCTCAGTTTAAGGTGGTTTGCCTCAGGAGCAGACATTTCCTTGGCTGTCTAAAAATGGTGCTCAAGTAAGCATGAAAGAGCTCAGGACAAATCACTCCCTTCAGAAATTCCAAGGCTGGGTCACAGCAGTTTGCTGCAATGCAGAACACAGACTTTATTCCTGAAGAGGAAAAAAATTAATAAAAAACATTTTTATGTCAGGAGAAATATTTTAAAAACTGAATTTTAATCCTAACCACTGGAGAGTTCCATTAACAAAACCCAGCTCAGTGTGATTCAGTAAGAACCAGAGAGCCCATTCCAGACATAAGAACTTTACAACTGAACCCTTCTTAACCTATTCACTTGTCTAATACTGATGGGAGCATAAACCTCTTCTCTGGTAAAGTGGCTGGACATCACCCAGTAACTACATTGCTCCAGGAGAAGAGCATTTAATGAAGTGGATTTCACTACTTCTCACCTGTTTTCATTTGCATAAACAAAGCTTGAGTCTCTTGGCATCTCTGAGTTGTCCAGTGCTCAGACAGGGACCCCATACCCCATGACCATTCAACACATACTTTTAGAAACAGAGGCACAAATTGCTTACTTTGTGTCTAAACAGTACTACTTACATTTGACTACAGGGCAACTAATTCAAACTTTGACTGCTTGATGGAGAAATTAGGATTAAAATAGGATATCAGACTCAGCACTTCAGTAAGGTTACAAAAACTGACTTGGAACTGCTTTACATTCACATCTAGGGGAGAAAAGCCAATTTGTTCTTGGTAAAATACCTGTATCTTTATTTTCTCCAACTGATCTGAAAATCTACAAAGAACAAGTTACAGAAAGAATGACAAGCAGAGTAAAATGAAAGATAGTAGAGACCTCTTTAAAATTTCTTAAGTCAAGATATCAATATCAAAGATACCAATTTTAAGAGCAGTTCAGAGTGGAGAATCATGAGAATTTACCTGGTTTCACAAAATAAAAAAAATGTAAGAACACAATAATTTTTTTTTATATTTAACATAATATGTAATTTTGACTATTAAAATGTCAAAGAATTTAAATTTTTAATCTAAAAAATAAATAGGATATTTCTAATGTCACTCCTTAGAAAGTCACTTTTATAATTTTGGACAGAATTTTGCATCAAAAAGAAACAGCATAAGCAAGATCAAGCAATAGAAGTATCTTAGTAAAAACAAGTTTATTCATTCATATTTTAGGTAAATATGCAAATAGTCAGCAAAGCCTTTTTGCCATGACTGTAAACTTTTTATTTTAAAAAATTATGTTAAAAACCAATACAGCAATTTCCATTAATGTTCTAAAAAAGTTTGTTCACATCTTGAAAGAAAATACATTAGCAACATCTCCCAGCAGAATCAATCTTTAAAAAAGTAAAACTCTAGGTGCAGAACATTTCTACAGTGTAGTATCTCTACATTTTAATTTAATCACATGATTGAATATCATTCATCTCTACTGTTTCTAGACCATGATCAAGACCATATCTTAAACAGATGATATTCAATGATGTGTTACACATTGCCACAGATACTAACATTATTAGAAGAGTGCACAACTCAATTTCACTAACAAAGCAAGACCTTTCTATATGCTGCATTGTAACAGTTAATTTAGTTATATGCCTTTAAAATCATGTATGTTTTCCAAGGAAAAATACTAAAAAAATCCATGGTCCAAATTCTGCTCCCACTTATATTCACAGGATAAGATAAGCACCATCAAGTTGTAGTTTATAGTTGAAAAGCATATAGAGAACCAGTTTGCTTATGAGTATAAGGGAGAGAAGAACTTGGCCCATGTCTGTAAACATTCACATAAGTCTGCAGTCAAAAGTGCCAGATAGGCAGCCTATCCGCAGTACAATTATGTCATTCAGAGGGGTGCTGGGGGCAAGGAGAATATTATGGAACGTTATTATAGAGGCAAGTTAAAATATTTTTATGTACTTTGGAAAGACATATTCTCAGCTAGCTAAACCATACTCCAGTAAAACATAATCCACTCCTACCCAAATACAGTACAGCATCATTTCTAGCTTTCTTGTTCAGACAAAGGAGTACTCAATTCAGCAGCCCATGACAATATTTTGAAGCATAAGAAAACCCCCACATACCTCTGACCTACCCTCTCCTTAACATACTGCTGATGCTAACAGGAGATCCTCATACATAGGAAGAAAACATCTGAAAAACCATAAACTGACCTTGATTTGTGCACACACAAGAAGTGTGCTTCTAGACAAAAGGTCGTCTACAGCTTTAAATGTCTAGTTTCAGTCTAGATCTTAGTCTATATTAACCACATATACCATACAAAACAAAACAGAAGGATAGGTGCTTATTCACACTATTAAGTATACTTGGTCTCCCTATTCAGTTTGACAGTCAATTGCCCTATTTACACAAACATCTGTTTGAATATTCCTGATCCTGTAAGACACCAAACCTTGAACTCTTAAAATTAAAGGAAAGTCAAGGATGGTCAGCAATTCACAGGATCAGACCCTGAATCAAATCGAATGGAATTCACAAATAGACATCTGACACAGCCTCCTGGAAACGTTTACCCTTATGTTTTCCCTTTCTTTCCCCAGCTTAGACCATGCTCCCACTACCGCAGAGACAGCCTTCAAAGTGAATAGGATCAGGCTCTGTCAAGCAAACGCTGCAGTCTTTAGAAATGCCTGGTATTTACTGCCATCCACTCTGGGGCAGACTTGTCTGCAATGAAAATGGTGTTCCTGGAGTTGATGGATAGTTAGCAAAACCTTCAGGCTGAGCTGTATAGTTCTCCAGAGCAGAAGCAGAATGCGCCTTTAAGGAAGATAAGAAGTTAGGAAACAGCACTGACAAAAACAAGGAAATAAAAATCTAAATAAAGCAAAATTTCAGCCACAATACCAGTCCTGCTCAAGCCAAAACAAATGGATTATAATCTAAAGTGTGCAAAGAATAGAGATGAGCAAGGCATCCATACAAAGATGTTAAATTGTAGTGCAACTATTGCTCTGAAATATCAGAGAGTGAAAAAAGCAGTTGGATGAAGGAGAAAAACAAAGAAGTGTTAATGGCATTTACTTTCCAGTGGAGTAAGCACCAGCTGATTTGGAAGGCACAGCTTAATCAGGAGCTGTAGTATTTCAGTGACTCTGAACTTTCTTTCCCTTCATTGCTGAAGTAAATAAGTGTTAATTTTAGTGACTGGATCTTATAAATAAGAACAATTATATTCCCTCAATGCAATCTGCATACACAGAACAAATAGACTCCTGAGCTGCAAAAGTAGCATGGCCTAGATAACTAACTTGCTTCTTCCAATCCCCTGATATTCAGAAGATATTTGACAATATGCTGCACTCTGAACATGCTCCATTTCAACAACTGATGTGTCACAGAAGAGAGAAAACATTAAGTCAAGACACTCAACTCTCTCTTTTAGTATTATGTAGAGAAGGACAAATTTCTTACAAGAATTTGTACACAGGCTGTTTTTAACAAAAGACAAGCTAAACATAGAAACACAAAGTCTGATGATAGTTTCAGTTAACTTATGTAGGTTGATGGGTGAAACAAGCTGTTTCATGGACAAGAAATGATGAAATTACACATTACCCAAAGCCACTTCAAGCTTATATTACAATTCTATTTGTGGGAACTATCAAGAGAAAGGCACAACCATAACAGACACAAATTTAAGACAATCTGATTACATGTGCAGAGGCACATAACTCACAACAAACGGTCCACAGAAATCTCTAAATTCAAATGTCAGACTGGAACTGAGCACAAATTTTGGAATGGTATGGTCAGCTCATTAGATTAAACACAAACTGAGCAAATAAATTAATTTGCATTATCCTTTCTTTTACTTCTCCCCATTTTACAAAGAGTTTTAGATAATGTTTTAATGTCATTTATGAAGCATTGTATACTGGCCTTGAGTAAGAAGTTAGTATGAGCTGTTTTATATCATCATCCTTGCAATCAGCTCTCACACAATTTAGGGGCTTTAATCATTTCCTGACAAATTAATCCCAAGGAGTTAACAGGCAAGTACATGCTCAAGAGTTCACTGGAAGCAGAAGAGTATTAACAAATGGGCACATTACCTGTAGTAGCGCTGACTGTGCAGCTGCACTGTGCTGCAACTCCTGTAAGGAAGATTGTGCGGCACTTTGGGGAAAGCCAGGGATACCAGGGAGAGATAAAAGACCAGGAAAAACTGCATTTCCTGGTGTCTGTAGTCCAGAAGTCAAGCTGAAAGAATGTCAAAATGAAGCTATTATTAGGAACATCTGCACCATGTTTTAGTCTGGTTCCCTCTCTATAAGCTTATGTCTACTTAAATTACAAAAGCAGTTCTTTTTCTAAATCTCATGAAAGCCAGAATTCCTAAACTGAAGTCTAGTCTTTACCCACCTAAAAATTGTTCATACATACACAAACCAAGATTGTCTGGAACACACGTATGGGGACTCAAAATGTTTTGTACCTCAACTGTGCTGCGAGTTTGCACACAAAAAAACCTTCACAGACAAGGATTGAAGCGGACTACTTCCTTAAAACATCTAAGATATTGTCTAGTATTAACCTGTGTGTCAATGGATGCCCAGTGGAATCCATTATTGTAAAAGCCTAGGAGGTGCCAAGTATCCTCATCTGGGACATAAAATCACTGAGCACCTCACTGGATTAGACTGTCGTACAAGGACTATTGAGGCCAACCTATTTAGTCACTACCCTATCAGCTTCTAAATACAAGCAGAAATCTAGTAGTGAACTAACTTTAAAAATTACCTGCAATTAGTGACTATGAGTGAAAATATTGTCTACACACCTAAAACAAAATCAGTGTTTTGTTCAAGAGAAAAACAAATAGTTCTGACCTCCTTCAGAAATGGTAACATACCCAGCCTGTGCCACAAGTGCAGAGTTGAAGTTTGAGCTAAAGGCCGAGGCAAACCCTGGCAGGACCGGGGCTGGAGATGGGGCTGTGGCAGCTGCCGGCAACGGTGCAACTGCTGCTACTGCAGAAGATGCCTGGAGGCCAGGGAAAGAAGGGAGAGCAGGAGTGACAGAGGGTGTGTTAGAGACAGGAAAACCAGGGAAGGATGGGTTTGATGATCCCAGAGGTCCCTGGGCAACGGAAAAAAGGGAAGGGACAGCACTGGACAAGTTAAGCGAGAAGGGTGGAGCGGAGACTGTTGCGGAGGCGGCGAGTCCTGAGAGTACGGCGGCAGTGGAACTCACATGGGGGGCGGACACGGCTGAAGCGCTTGTAGCCGCAGTGGCCAACAGAGACCCTGGGAGAGTGACGGGAGGGGTCAGCGCTGGGTTACCAGTAAAAGCAAAGTTACTGGTTAGAGACGTGAAAGGAGGAAGTCCATTGAACACGGGGGCAATGGGAGCAGAGGAGCCATGTGGGGCGAGGGAAATGGAAGCCAGAGAACTGGAGTTGTTCAGAGGAGCACTCAAAGAGGAGAGCCCTGAGAGTGCTGGATTCAGGGAACTGGGTAAGCTGACGGGCACTGAAGCTGCTGAGGTGTAAGCACGCCCGAGCCCTGACAGTCCCAGAGTGCCATGAGAAGGGCTGGCTGAATGGGAAGGACCTTTGAAGGCCGACAGGGTAGGACTCATGGGTTCTGTTTTGACCAGTACTGGGATACTTGTGACAGCTGGGGCTGATGACAGCTGCTGGTCGGGATTAGTAGGACTTGTGCCATGCAAGAGGGAGGCTGATGAGCCACAGTTGACTGGCATAATCGATGGCGAAGTGGTTAAAGGTGATTGTGCAGGCAATGTGGGAGGAGTGGAACTAGAATTGGCCACAGATGGGGATGGAAGACCTGGAAAAATAGCCAGCCCAGGTGTAGAGGAACGCTGTGTGTTCGGGGTGGCTGATGGAGTGTAACATTTGTTGACAGAGGAAGTGGGAGGGTCAGAGCTTTGATTAGCAAGAGCAGATAAAGAAGCAAGCTCACTTGTCACAGCAGAAGGTAAAGCAGATGAATTGATTAATGAAGTGTCATTTGATGTCAGAAATCCCTTTAAGACAGATAAAATTGGGTTAGGCAAGCTAAGCGAGCCAGGAATGGTAGTGGCAGGAGAATTAGCAATCGTAGATGGAACAGGACTAGAAATCCCCTGGGCATTGGGCGGCAAGGACAAAGGGAGGCCAGCAAAGACTGATGACAATGGAGCAGGATTATTAGCAGAAGCAACTGAAGAGGTTGCAGAGAACGGGAGGCCAGTAAATGGAGTAGCAGCAGATGCAAAAGCTTCAGTGGGTGCAGGTGTGGCACATGGAGTGGAAGAACCTTGTGGAGCAGGCATAGCAGCAGGGATAGAAGCCAGCCCAGAGAAAACTGAGGGGATAGGGGTAGAGGTTGCACTGTGAACAGATGTGACAGGAACACCAGGCAATGAAAGGGATTTGATGACAGTAGGGGTTGGGGTGGATGGCTGAGATGTATGGATGGAAGAGGAGACCTGTCCAGGGAAAACAGGAAGGACAGGGGTAGTAGACATGTTCATCCCAGAGATGAGTGGAGTTGCAGGTGCTAATGGATGGCTTATTGCCTTGACAGGTGATGGGGTAGGGACTGGAGTAGCAGCAGGTGTTGAAGGATTAGAACCATGAGGAGTAAAGAGCTGATTCGCTTGTGCAGAAAAAGCTGCAAAGAAACAAAACCAGTAAGAATACTTGAAACTGTCAGAAATGTTTGAAATTAACACAAAAACATTTTATACAGCATTTCAAAATATGATACACAGGCAATAGCTAACACACAATGTCTACATATAAACAAGGAACAGTGGGGCCTATGAAAACAAACCAAAAAGGTACACACAAACACATCACACAAATCGTACACCATGTGGGCTAACACTCCTCTTTAAAACACTCTGTGACACCTGCTACCTCTTCATGATCTCATGCAAAACAGTTAGAAACTCAAATACACTCTGTAAGAACATCTAAGTGATAAAGGTAAACACCCTCCCTCTGGTCCCTAACATTTGGCAGTACCCAAACCGGATCTAATATTCCACCAGCATCAGATCACCTGGGCTCCTCTGCATCCACTCTCACTGAAGGTCAGAATTTCCTTCAGAACCAGTTAATTCAATGTATCCTGATTTCAGAGAAGTTTAGGCAACAACTGAAGAAAGCTGATTTCAGGTGCTGGTAGTTTTCTTTCCTTCAAAATCAGGTCATTCTCTTCACTGTGCTTCCTTCAGATTTTGATTCTAAGAAGGTACACTTTTAAATTTATGTATCACACTACAGTATTAAACTAACATTGGCACTTGATCAACAAGTATTTATAGGAGTCTTTAGTCAGGTGTCTGTAGTAAAGGCAAGCACCTGCTACTAAAAGTATCAGCTTGTGTCAATCCTACAAAGTAAGTTAGAGACATCAGTCAAGCTGCAGGAAAACAGGCAGACACATTGTGGATGGGAAGGTGGAGGTTAATGGAAAGGAGCTGCATTTATGAACACTGGCATGTCAAGAGTCTCGATATGCCTGCCTCTAGTTTCCTGTGGAACATGAATATGTTAATATATCATCCTTCTCAAATAACCCTTGTGCTTTATTTTACTTTTGGAATAATCTGTTCAAATGTAAGCGAGACACTCATCCAACCAGTCAAACTCACCACCCATAACTCTCTAGCAGCCTACATGTCTCTCTTGCCTGATTTCTACATATAATTCTACACACAAATCCAGAAAATTATTATTTAAAATTTTCGACCCAAGTTAGTATGACAAACTTTCCATTTTGTGTATGTTGAAATTTTAAAATGAGCAGATCTTAAAAAAAAACTATTTCCTTTTACATACTCTTTTCAAAAACACCCCAGACTGCCCAGCTCTGGATTCTGTTCTTTTCTCATTCTATTTCCAAGCTAAAGACTCTCCTCAAGATCAGTTACTTAATCCTGACAGACAAGATAATCACTAATGAAATAACACCTGTACCAGAACCTAGAGTTGTTACTGAACTTTTCTTCCTAAGAGACTATTTCATTCCTTACACTGTATTCATTTAGCTGTATGAACTAACTTTGTAAAAATACATGCACACTTAAAGAGGTGTACATAAGAATGAAGTGATTCTTCATTTCTGTAGAACCATCCCTGGACATAGAGAAGGAAAGACAAAATGTAATTTTTTCTTGGGCCCTAGGAATATTTACAGTAGCTAAACTTATCACAGTCATTTTATCTATTTGCAGTACTTGTTAATATGTCTGACTCAATGGTCAGTAAATTCTTAGTTTGTATTTGTCAAATCTAATAAAGTGTTACCAATGAATTTTTATATGTCGTTCCTAATGGGATTTATTATTATGCTTTGTACTAAGTGTACAAAGCACTACACAAATAATAACAATAAAAAATGCACAACTGTCTTGGTACAAAGAACAGGATCTTACAGGGCAAGACGAAAAGTGCAGGTAGACATAACTGGATATAACACTCCAGGATAAGACATTCAAAAATCTCTAAATCTCTGCTGTATTCCTACCTTCTTATTGCAACTGATCTATGAAATTAAAATGTCAATGAGTTTTCCAATAGATGTCCAGAGTTTTAAAAATTGCAAAGATTTACTGAAGTATTTAAGTGCATGACATTGCAAAGGGTATTCTGATTTAGTTTTTAGCATGATTTCTCACATACTTACATAATGAAGAATATAAAAAACTTTGATAAGCTAACACAAAAGAATGAATTTTAATGTTTCAATGCTTCTAAGTACAAATGTCTGATGATTTTTTTTTCTCTACTCTCAAGAGACTCCATTCCACATACTTAGTGGCTGCATACTTAGAAGCTTATGAAGATCCCACTAAACAAGTAGTTAACATTTTCAGAACAAATAACGAAGATACAATCAACAGAAAAATTCCCCTGTGGATTTGCGATTTACCTTGATTTTGGGAAGGTTTTGCCTGGGTGGAAAGGTCCTCATTTTCTAAACAGAGAACAACAGTTAGTTATTGAAAGGCAAATGAAACTCCAGCAGTGAATTATCCACTCCCAGCAACGAACCAGGAAAAATAGCATGAATATTTTTAAAGATATGCATGCTTTACCTGATACCACTTGATTAGCAGTGTATGGTGGAGGAGCTGGTAAGCCTGGAGCTATGACATTGGCCATTGGAACTAAGCCAGCATTGTTGTAAGCACCTAAAATAACAAATAAAAAAACAAAATAACAAAGGCAATACACATTCCTATTGTCAGAAGAACCTGTATCCAGATGAACCAGTAAGCATCCTCTCCTTTCAAAGAATATTTTCAAGACTGTAAGACATTCCTTCATCAAAAAGCTAGACAGGTTAATTATACAGGCTGGATGTTGGCTTTTGCCAATGTCTGCCCGAATGGCATGCATTGTGATCCAAATTTTACTAAGGGCAATTCTCTTAAGAGAGCCTGAAAAAGTCAGGTTTCAATTCCCTTCAGTTCCATTTTGCCTGAAAAAACTCAAAGGGGAGGAGTGATACAGAGTGTCTGCAGCATCATTGGTTCCTTTCCTATTCCTAATTTAAAGGCTGTTTCAACTCCTTCTTCAGCATTTCTTTAAATGTTAAGAAATTCAAGTGGGTTAGCAAAGTATTTTAATATAAAATTCTCACCGCAATTAACATATTAAATATACCTTTCTTTCCCCCCCATTATTTTTTGGAGCAGCTCAAACTGTTGTATTGCTGTGGTATATAGTTCTGATGAAAAATCTGAATTTAAATTGCAGGAACACACATACATTTCACAGTGGCCTGAATTAATAGTTTAAGAGTAAAAGAACTTGGGCTTCATGGGAAAAGGTAGCACTTGAACAATACTGAAAGTGCACTCCTTTGTCATATTCCTGATTTCATACTTTCATAGTAATTCCACCTGATGTTAAGATGTCTTGCACAACTCTTGCCTGAAAATCAGAAAAGCAACTAACAATCACTGCACCACTCAGGAAGGAAATGTTCATGAGGCAGAAAACAATTCATTGTTCTAACCACTGACTGAAAACAATTACATTAAATAGTTTCAGGTCAGCATCTGTAATCTCATTAAACACACGTACATATATATATATAATTTCACCAGTTATGAGTTCTGTTGTCACAAGAACTTTCTTAAAAAACATGCTGCAGCCTAGTAAGGCCCTGAAACCTCAAAAGCTCTTTCATGTCCTAAAACTATTGTGCCACAGACCAAATAATTTTGGGCTTTAAGATACTTTGGATAGGATTTATTCAATATAAATTTGAGTTAGTCTGCAAGTTTCCTGTGTTTCCTGTACAGTTTCTTGGGAAGAAGTCATTTCCTGAGCATAAATAATCAATCAGTCTTAGTTCAGCCACTAGTAGTGCCCATTTTCTAAAATGGCTATAAAAAGACTTGCAGATGACTCAGCCTTCAATATGCTTGCTAAGAGTTCTGCTTCACTTTCTTATCAACTCCCTGAAATCCCCAACATCAGTGAAAAGCAAGTGTCCTAACCAGAGCACTCCTTGTTTTGCAGTACAGAATTTCAAGATGCGAAAAGGCTTTCAGCTGCCAGACCTGAATCTGACTTCTTTAAATATTGTAAGCTTTCTTCCTAAGAAAGGGCAATTGCCTTGCTCCCTTCCAAAAATGTCTTAAGTCTAACAATTGATGCAGTGGCAAAGAGAGGAGCTTATGAATAAAGGCTCAATCTTACCTAAGGCACTAGGCTAGAAAGAGAGCAGTGTCAGGAAAAGGCAATCACTATTTCCCGAGACTGAAATCTACTTTTCTTTTAGGAAACTGTTTACTCTGCATTATGATGGAGAGAAGGTAAAGCTGAAGGCAGCTGAGAAACAGATTACAGCCCTTCAGCAAACTCCTACATAATCCCACCCAATTCAGGGCCATGGCTGACCATATCCCAAGTTAGGTTCTACAGCAACAAGTCAGACTTGTCAAGGCAAAGCCCAAGCCCTGGCCAAAGTTACAATAAAGCCAAAACCCTTGTCTTGTCTAACATGCACAATTCCTCCTGTAATTTAAATATTTTGTCATCAGAACAGGTTTGTGAATTTTTCTTATGGATGTTGTAAAAAAGAAATCAATATATTCCTCTTTTTATCAATTCTGCTGTCATGAAAGAAAAGGTAGAAACCAGTATCCAGAGCATGCTCAGGGAGCAGAAGCCAATTTCAGATATGACCATGGTCAGAGAAACCGATACTTGACACATTACTTAAAAGGCAAGTGCATGAACAATAGCATCAAGCTAGAACACATAGAAACCTTACTTGGTGCAATAGTTGCATGTGGCCGACATGGTGGGATGGGGTATGGAACTGGTTTGTGTGGATTGTACGTTGATGGAGCCTACATAAACAAAAAAAAAAAAAAAAAAAAAAAAATAGTTCCCACCAATAAGGAGAAGAGAATATGAGTAGATATAAGTGAAAAAACAACAGTGAAAAAAAAAAAAAAAAATGGAAAAAGCAATAGTGAAAGCATTACCTAACATTTCTCAGACAAAAAGCTAACATTCAGATATTGCTACAGACAGGCATTCTTCACTACATATATATGCGATATGAAATTTTTTCATAATATCCACAGTGACTGCAAGTATTTCACTCTGAAATGAGTGAAACAAACATCACTAGTATACTTTTAGATTTTAATAGAAAACTGAGCACAGGAGAGAAAGGGAGCTCCATTCTGCCTTGCAGTTCTCACACTCCGCAGTCTTGGACTGACTCCTCATTTTAAAGGTTTAGCATATTTAAAACTAGCAAATATTTGTGAAGGTACCTATTCCTTTAAAATAATACAGCTTTGTGGGAAATACCTCATAATAGAAGTGATAATGAAACATTTGGACAATACTTCAAAGTAGTAAGAGGTTCACAGAGTAGTAGCAGGAAGTTTGTCCCACATGCTTAAAAATTTTGAAATGCACATCAGCTGTGCTGTCAAGAAACAAGAACCTCTAAGGCACTGCTGTAACTCAAGTGTCAAAGATGGAGGCATTTTCTGTGTTCATGTGAGAAATCCTCAGAGAGCAGCTCATGATGGACTACTAAAAATGCTTTCTCTTCTGCTACTGTAATTTAAATTCTGTCTTCAAATGCACATCAATTATATCCAGTAGAGAATCATCCCCCTCTACAGATAAAAACTAGAGCTTCTTCAAGTTAAATAAAAAAATACTAGGTCATATTCAATACAGAAATTTAGCTTCAATTAAATTGCTGCTCCACAGTCGTCTTGCAACATAACAGCATTTTATAACAAAGCCGTGTTGAGTTGGCTGGTGGTTGTTTCTAGGTTTTTTTAAGTTTCATTTATTTATTAATTTTTTTAGACATACTGGTTTGGATGGTCCAAGTATACGGGCTGCTATTCCCTTTCCTTCATTAGTACATTCTTCTGTGTCCTTTTTGATAGGGGTTCCCTGAAACAAAAGATAATAAAACCAAGCATTAATTTAGAAGCAAACCTTGCTGTACAATTTTGCCATATGTTATTTTTTTCTGAACTACATTTGAGTTTTTGAACATTCTGAAAGTAATCATGTTTGTCAGGAAAAAGAAAAAAAACACAACTGTAGCTGTGGAAAGGGGTTTTAACCCTTTAAGTGCGGCAGAAATAAGATGCACAGCTACATGGTCGTCTTTCATGACGAAAGAAAGAAATAAAGAGACAAGTTTATTCAGAAACACACTTGGTTTTACAGCATGACTCACAATTCCAAGAGTAGAGAAAAAGTAATTGGTTTAGAGAGAAGACACCCCATTCCCAGGGCCTGGTCACACACCACAACAGGTGTTCTATCTTGTTTTTAATTCCTTTTTATTTTGACCAAATTATCACCCTGGGAGAAATTCTCCCTAGCCTTGAGCTGGACCAGTTTATCGGCTGGGAACAGAGCTGAAAAGTTCCAGCCTGGAATATTTTTCAGGCTACAATTTCCTTACTTTCTCAATATGTGTCCGTACACACAACCAACTGTTTTAGGCTTGTAAAGTAATGAGTAAGAGCATTCCAATAGCTTGGTTTGTAACATGGAGCTTTTGTAAAGAGAGGCATTTTAAACAAGGCATGTTGATGATGGAATTCTGTGTTTTTACTTGTGGATATGATAACATTAATTCCAGTTAATTTTGCTGTCCCTTAAGTGTTTACAGGAAATGCTTAATATGCTTAAGAGCCACACTAAGATTAGCAGTGGTACTGTAGTGACCCCATTAGGTCACCTTATCAACCTACCAGGAAGCCTTTTGACACCTCTCCTGATTCTGCCAAATACTGCTGGAGTTTACAATGTTTTCCTGATATGAACAATGTCTTATTTATGAACTAATCTTTACCTGAAGCAGCATAGAAAGAATGAGCAAATAAAAACAATACAAGTTCCCTATAAATGTGGAATAGAGTAAGACAAACAAACAAACCAACCCAACAAATGCACTTTGGTTTTGATGCCACTCCTCCTTCCATGTATATGAATTCTGAATTTGGTTATATTACAATGAATCTTAAATCAAGTGTTCATTTGTGAAAAGCAAAAGCATAGGATTATGCTTACTGGGAAAATTCCATTTATGCGGCTGGGTTTGCCCTTGGGATAAGGATTACCAGGAATCATGCCACAGGATGATATCATAGCATGAGGAGCCTTACAACCTGCTTTTGAAGCCTGCAAAATAATCAAGAAAGAACATTATTTGCTATCAAATTCAATGCTCTAAATAAATTAGTTAATATTTCATGACATTAAGACTGCAAGAATCAACCTACATGAAACAACTGAAGTCAGTGTCTCAAGTCTTACTCCAAATAATCCAAACAGTGCAAACTTCTGCCAAAGTCCACCTCTGCTTATACTGAACTTGGGCTTAAGCACTTAGTGTTCTCTAAAACAAACACAAACTGTTTCCTCCAGCACTAGCTGCAATTCTGTGTCCCTTTCTCCATATGTTCCATATGCCTGACTAGAACTTCTCCTTTTGTTGCACATGCTCTTATCTTTTTACAGTTGCTTGTTTCAGCTTGTCTTCCACCAGAAGCTCCCAGAAGCCCTCCTGCTAAGCCCTGCCCCCACAATGACCACAAGGATGCAAACGGAATCCTAACAGAACCAAGGATATTAGTTTATCTTGACTACCTGTTCGAGAATTCTTCTGCATCTTTTCTTCTCTGACATATTAATTCTGAACAGATCTTCAATAAGGCGATAATTCTGAGCATCAACAATGTTGCTGTAAAGACAGTGACAATTACTGAAATTCCATTTGCATAAGTTGAAACAATGCACCACTGAAAAGTGACCCACACTTAGTTAGCCACTACCCAAAAGTACATTAAAAATATCATAATTAGATCAAATCATATTGCTATTATTGTTATTAAAGTAAAAATACCAGGCTTAAATATGGGCTGTGAGTAAAACATGGTGTTAGAACTAAATATCAATACAGAACAATGGGTGACAATGGCTAATCTTTATTGCAAAAATAACTATGTTGAAAAAATGAATTTTGTATCACAACGGTTCATTAGAAAGCTTTAATTACTACTAAAACACAATTCCTAGCACAGCAAAAAACCAGCAGCTACTCAATTTGCCACTGTTTCTTGCCAGTCTGGAAGAAAAACAAGTTTTCATTTAATTTACTTCAGAATGAAAAAGATAATTCCTGGTAAATCTCTCTAAGTTCTGCCTTAGAACTTAAGAGAGATGTGAAAAGCCTTCATATAGTTACAAAAGATACTCCTCCTCTCTTCTCCCCAAAACAACACTAGACACACCACAGAGAACAAAATATGTGACTCCAAGGAGACCAATGCCTGCTTCTACCACCTTTTTCAAAATTCTGACCCATTTTTTACTAGCACTTCTCTGTCAAATATTACCTGTGCCATCCAAACTACTGGAAATACAACATAGCACCAAAAAGGGGGACTCCTCAAAGGAGGATATTAGATAGAAATGAAATCAGCAGAAAATTGAATGAAGACATGAAAAACACCTCAAAGAACAGTATTAAAATGTGAATGAGCTTTCAGCTTTGTTCACTATTCCTGATTAACGAAGTAAGCAGAACATAGATTTGGGTTAGGATTTGTAATCATGACTCCCTTATTTTGCTCTTTTACTGTAGAAATCTAACATCTAAGGAAGTTACTGTGCTTTACCCCCACATCACCTGAAATGCAACAGCTGAAGAGTCCAAGAGCTCCAGTCTCATCACAGGTCAGTCTCATGTGACACTAACTTTCCTTTGGTTACCCTGTGTTGTTTTGGTATGAAATAGACTAGGAGCATTGACATGGCTTCCTTAAGCTCAACTCTAAAAGCAAAATCATGTCTGTATCCTCAGTCTTAATTGTTTTATGGATATTTGTATCATGACTTTATATGCCCCAGGAAGTTCAAGCAGGCTGTAATACAGCATTCACAGGGAAGACAGACACGCTTAAAGCAAAAAACCCCCAAACAACCCAAAAAAGAACAATACTTTATAAAATAAATGCACTGAACCAAGCAGAAAATTTCAATTTTAAATATTTCTAATAGATCCTTTGAAGCAGCTCTGCTCACCAGGAAAACCCGAACTTTCTCTGTAAATATAAATTTAGAATATCTATATATATTTTATAGACAGTAGATTTGTCAGCTTAAGAGATCCATTTACTTAACTCATTTCTACATATGTAGTATTTAGAGAACTTTTCAGAGAAGGGTCAATTCCCAAAATTTCCCAGTCTCAAGTATTCCAGATTTCAGTGAGCAGAGAAATAAGCTTAAGGCCCTCTTTGCTCTCTACAGCATTTGAAGACCACAGTAAAATCACTGCCAAAGTGGCAGTCTTCCAGCAGGCAAAAGCCCACATAGCAGCAAGACTCAAATGAACTATGGAATTTTCCACAATCACAGAATCATTGGTTGAAAGGACCTTAAATAGCATCTAGCTCCAAAGCCCCTTCAAGTGAGCAGAGGCACCTTTTACTAGACCAGGCTGCTCAGAGCCCCATCCAGCCAGGCCTTAAATATTTCCAGGAATGGGGCATCCACAACTTCTCTGGCAACCTGTGCCAGTGCCTCACAGCCCTCATAGTAAAGAATTTTTTCCTAAAATCCATTTTAAACCTACTCTCTTTCAGTGTGAAGCCATTCCCTTTGTCCTGTCACTACAGCTCTCGCAGGCTCCCTTCAGGTTCTGCTGCAATTAGGTCATCCCAATTCATTTCAGGCTGAACAAACCCAATTCTCTCAGTCTTATGTCTACTTCTAAAATGTCTTCTTCTAATTATTCTTTTAAACAGCCCCATCAGTAATGGATTTGTGCTTTACCTTAACCAGGCACAGTGCTTCCTTCCAGGAGTATCTAAAGTTTTATATCCTCAAACATGAGCTAAAACAATACAAGTTAAGGAACACAGCAGAAGAGATACTTACGAAGCTAAGATTTCAAGGGCAATAAGTTTATCTTTACTGAATGTGAAGCAGTTGAGAATATTAACCATTTTTGATGCTGGAACTGCCACTATTTTCTGACAAGAAAGAAAGAAAAACGGGTATATAAAATAAAGCAGTACAACTATTTTAAACTCAGAATACAATTCAGTTACAGTGTCATATGGTGTATTTCAGTAAACTGTTAATAGCCTCTCCCTTCCAATGGGAAGGAGACTCTATATACTAAATTATGAAAAAGCAGCTCCAAAAAGCACTCACCAAAAGCAAAGAAATCAGGAGAGTTAACAAGAGTTACAAAGGATTACATGTCTTCCTGTGATACACAGGAAAGTAAAAGTCATTTTAGTCACAAAAGATACCCCAATTAGAAGTATGACATTTCATAGCTTGAAACCACCAAAGGAGAAGAAGAAGCAACTTTGAAGATTTTTTTAAGGGTATATTGACTCATCAATTGAAAAGTAGGTGTCATAAAATTAAAATTATATTAAGAGAGCAAATTTATTCCACAAGATCATGTCAAAAGAACTTACATGTTGTAAAGCCTTTATTGCCTTAAGCTGTGGTTCTGCCCAGGAGAAGTATCTCAGTAATTCAACAACCTGCAACAGAGTAAGGCCTTCAATTAATCTTTCAGATATATTAAAAATGTATTTTAACAGCATCAATATGACCTTTCCACTTTTGTAGCACACTGGTATACTGCTAAAAAAACATTTGTCTGTGACATCTGATTGTCAGTGCCTACCAGCATCTAAACTTTCTTATTTCTAAGTAGGCACCTAAAAATTCTATTTTATGAGACGAAGATTTTCCATGGAAATATTTAAAATACTTACTTTTCAAAATGTATTTGCATATATGCATAACAATATCGCTGTATTAGAATAATTTTTTTAAAAAAATTAAGTATCTCTGAAAAAGCTTATCAGCAATCAGGATCCCAAACAGCATATTCCCAAACATACACCAACAGCAGAAAAAGAAAGAGGAAAAAAAAAATCTACATATTTTCATATTATACATTACTACTACATCTCTATTTAGACAATACATGCAAACCATCTTTAATTCCACCATTATGATAAATACATACCATTTTCCAGACACAGTAAGAAAGAAAATGTAGTGATTTTGATGACAAAGCAACTTGGAACTCTTTTTAATGGTGTCATGCTGCTACAATAATAAGGAATTAAGTCACCTCAGGTAATAAATATGAAAAGCTAATATGATCACCCTCAGTATGACTGGAGACAATCAATTTGTATTACTGAATACACAAAAACCATAGTTCCCATTAAACCCATAACCATGCTGACTTTACCTGTTCACTGGAAAAGTATCCATGAACATATTCAATAGCTTTTAATTTGTACTCAGTCAGTACAGCCTAAAAGATATAGAAAAAAAGGATGCATAATTAGTGACTCAAAAAGTATAATTATAGCACAACCATCTGCTAATCTATTAATCTAAAATCTACCCCTACAAAGTGACATTTGTATCAATTACACTGCAGCAATTTGAAGTAACAGTGTATTTCTTAGGTAACTGAGAACAGTGAAAAGCAGGAAGGTGTGATTTAATTCTTCTTTTTTAAAATACTCATTTTTTTATGTGATTTTGATTTTTTTTTTTCGTTGCTTATAACTGTTCTGAGAGACCATCACCACTCTTCTTTTTGCTCCAATGATTTACATCAACTTTAAGTCAAACATGATAATACAGTTGATTATTCAGGCAATCTCTTTGCATGGCTCCTTAAACTAACTGACAAGCTATTTTGGGCGAATTTATGAAGAAATTGGATAATGAGTCTATACAGACAGAATGAAATACACAACAAAGCCTGGTCCATAGGTGGAAACTGTCTTATTATTATCCTTATGCATTTTAACATGCAGTCATACCAAACAATTTCTGTTTGCACAGGACTTTAATGCAGCATTGGCCTTTTGACTTTTTGACTTTTGTAGCAAGTTGGTGAGCTGTCTAACAGCCAGGACTTCCTCCTTCCCCTGTACCCTGCGACAGGTACAAAATGTAAAGAAGACAGCTAACAGCTGAATTCCTGCCCCAAGCAGGTGAAAACACCTCTCTTCCACAGTTTCCAAGTCCCCCTCTAATGCAAATCTTATGTGTTCTCAAACCACCTTTAGCTTTACCCACACACCCACTTCTATCTTCCTCCCAATAGCCCTAGAATCTACTCCTTCCCCTTGCTTTTTAGTTCCTGTCCCTCCACACAGACACGAAGGTCTCCACCACTGCAGCCTGACTGTGAATGAGTGCACAGAAACTCACTTGGATACTGTTTGAGTCAACCCTTTTCCTTTCCCTACCTCATTAAGACACAAACACTACCATACTGAAGCCACGGGAGAGAACAAATTTCTGTCTTCATGCTCATTTTTTCCTCCTTCTCATGCATTTTGGAAAAAAGCAGGGTATGTCTTTTTTTACCAAAACAAATGTTATTTTTCCTTCTTAAATAAACAATTGGATGACTTTATAACAAAAGTACAAATAGAATGCACTGCTATGCATATTTATGGAAGAAACAAACAAACAAAACCCTCAAAGTTTATATATCTAGTGCTTGTAAATACACACAGGAAAAAACATAAGTAAGCTACACATGAAGACATTTAAATAATTGTTCCTGCTAACTGTAGGACTGAAAATGGAACATGCCAACACAAACAACTTGTAAATCGCATAATAAAGAAAGTTCTACCTCAGAGCTAGAAATGAAGCTTAAACAAAAATATAGCAACAAAGACACAAGATCACCATTTGGACAAGGAATGTTATATCACAACAGCAGAACTATTATTAACACAGCACAGCTGTGATCCTTAGATCAACATCAAGTTGGAATACAGGAATACAGGCAGATAGCAAAGAGGAAACATAATTGCCTAAAATCACACGTCTAAACCATTTTGTCTGAAGTCTTTAGTAATCACAAAGCGTATTCTGAATGACTGCACTGCAGTAATATAAGTGAAACATTACCCCCTCCTACCATCAATCATCAAAGATAGCATTCATGTGATTTTTCCTTGTGGTTCCCAGATTTTCCACAGAAATTCATAAACTGGGAGAGAAGTCCACACCCTGAAATATCATAGACTGTCATGTTTTTAGCTGTTTTATAAAGGAGACTTTATGACCATGACGTTATGCACAAATGTAGTTGTGATAAGAAAGACACCTCAGGGGCTTCTGTTAACAGTTTTATACCTCAATATGGTTTTATACATCAATATGTTGTAAAAGAATAATATTGCAATTGCAGCCATCACTGCCTCATTCCAAAGAGAAACTGAACTGAAACTCAACTCCAGTACCCGAGTCCAAATAAAAGAAATTCACCTCTCCTTGACAAATCAATAGAACAAAAAACTCAATACAAAAATGCTATGGATCGCTATTCTGCCACAAGAAAATATCATGTGAAACAAGCCCTTCATTGTCACATCAAGACAGCTTCTGCAGGTAAGCTGTTTTACTGTGACACTTAAATAACCTCTGCTTAACTGCAACAAAATACATCCTCATAGGCTTCTGCCTTCCAGGCAAAACAAGAAACATTAATCTCAAACGTTCTGGTTTTTTCTCTCTCCTTTTCTCCTAGCATTCGGGAAGTGTGTCAACCAGTAACCTCGAGCTTTCCTGTTAAAAGCAGACACCTGTGCAGAGAGAAACCAGAGCCCTGCCAGACACGAGGAAACCCAGGTTTGTATCCCTGCTCCCCACAAGCAGCAGTATTTTGCTCAGAGTTTTTAAACGGGAGATGCAGTAGCACAGCTCAGAGCACGCATCAAAACGCAGGATTCACATCCCAGAGGAAGATGTGCACACACACTCCCGAGCTGTGGAAGACAATAAGGACAACAGAGTGCAGCTCAGAAATCAGTGTTCTCACGTCCTACTCGTGCATTGTACCTCCTAAACCAGCGTTTAAAGGTGGGTACTTCGCACTGTCTCCAGACAGGCCAAGCAAACGCAGCCCTTCTCCCCAAATAAGACACGCTTGGCTACTTTGTTTTTCTTCCGCATCATCCTTGAAAGTGAAAATGCTGCAGTAACCTTATCCAAGTGCTTATTTCAAATGAAGGCTATAGATCACCTAGTCCCAAGCACCCTGCTATGAGCAGGGACACCTCCCACTAGATAGGGCTGCCCAAGGCCTTATCCAACCTGGCCTTGAACACTGCAGGGATTGGGGCACCCATAGCCTCCTTGGGCAACCTGTTCCACTGCCTCACCACCTTCACAGCAAAGAATTTCTTGTCAATATCTTATCTAAATGTCCCTCCCCCTTTCAATTTGTAGCTATTACTTCTGGTGATGGAGTTTACAGTCCATCACCAAATGATTAAACTAACACACCAAACGAGAATTTACCTTCCTAATTTCATCCAGCACGGTTTCAAATGATTTCTTATCCATCTTGACTACTGCATGCAATGCCGACGCTTAAACGTGGAGGAAATAATACTAGTGATAAAAAAAAAAAATCCTAAGTGTCTTTGAGCATACAGGAAAAACGGATTTAAAAAAAAAAAAAAAAGCAGCCAGGCACGGAAGGTGGCCGGGGCTGTCCTCGGCCCCGGGGATGGAGCGCTGCCGCCTCTGCAGTGGCGGACACGGAGACAAAGGCGCCCTGCGGGAGCCGCCCGGCGCGCCCGCTCCCCGCACGTCCCGCGGGCGCTCGGGCGGGCGGCGGGAGAGGGGCGCAGGGGTCGCGGCAGCGGCAGGAAGGGAAGGGCAGGGAATGGAAGGCAAGGGCGGCAGCGGCGGCCGCCCCGCTCAGCGCTCAGCACGCGGCACCGCAGCCGGGCCGGCCCGGGGCGCCCCCGCTGAGCATCGTTCGCGGCGCCGCCGCCCTGCGATCCCGGCGGGCAGAGCGGGGGAGGACGCGGACGGCCCCCGGGGCAGGCGGGGCAGGTGAGGAAGGCGGCCCGGGAGCGGCGTGAACCCACAGACAGCGCACCCTTTCCGCCGGTCCCGCCTCCGCGCCGTCGCGCCCCTATGGCATCACAGCGCGGAGCGAAGGCCCTTTTCCACACTGGGCGACGATAGCGATGCCTGCGCAGGAGCGGGGGGAATTCGGGGCGGACTCGCCCCTCGCCCAGCTCCCCGCGCCGCGCCGAAGCGCTGAGCGCCGCCCCGGGGCACCGCCGCGCCCGCCCCGCGCCGCACCCGCGCCTCCGCCCCCAGGCCCGGGCCCGGCACGGCGCGGGGAGCAGCGGCCACCGGGGCCGTGCGGGAGGGGCGGCGGCCACGTGGACGCCATGGCAACCGGCCCGGCCCCCGGGAGGCGGGAGCGGCCACGGGGCCGGGGCTGCCATGGCCGGGACGCTGCGGGCCTTGCTGCTGGCCCTGCTCGGCGGCTCGCAGGTGCGCTGCCCGGGACTTCGAGCCAGGGCCTCTGGTTAGGGCGGACAGCGGGGAGGGTCTGGCGGAGCCGCTGCGAGGGGCGCGCCCGGGGCGGCGGGGCAGGGGCCGGGGCCGGGGCCGGGGGGCGGGCGGTGCCCCGGGACCCTTTCGCTCTCGGTGCCTCCCGCGCCGCTTGTGGGCTCCTGGCGGAGGCTGCGGCGCTGGGGCGGCTTCGCAGCCCCGCCGAGGCAATGCCTGCACGGGCGGCGCCTTCCAGGGGATTCCAGGCGCTGTGCTGCGCCCCAGCGAGGGAAATGCAGTCTATGGGTTCCCTACTTCCCACTTCAACTTCCCACTTGATACTGACAAATGTTCTCCTTGCTTGATTGCTCGCGGCTTTCCTTCATGGTAGCCCAGCCTTGTTTGTGGCTCTGTGTCGTCAGTGTGTCCCCTGGTCCCGGCAGGGCGAGGAACAGAAATGTCAGGTGGCCGTGGGCCTTCAGCGTCTCCTGCGTTACTTCCTAGCTCTGTGCTGAGTGCTCTCCTTCAATGGTCACCTTGCAGCAATGCTTGGCTTCCATTCTTCTGCTGGAAAAATAGAACAAGAAGGTGGAAAATTGTTTTTTCCGTTATCATTTAAAATGTATACGTTGACCCGAGTCTCACTGTTCCTGGCATTTTACACTTCTTCGTTTCCAAGGTGTTTTCTTTCTTGACTTGTATTATTTTTTCTTATTTTCACATCTTCAAGTGGCTACTGAATTTGGTGCATTTGGAACTTTCATTTCCCTCATTTTGGAGAATGATTTACATATATTAACAGCAGCTCTGGTGTAAGAAATTTCAGGGTATGTGTTTTACCTTCAAATTCCAGAGCTTCCCAGTCCAAAAGACTTGATTACTTGGTTTTCAGATTGTGGAAGCTTTCCCACTTGCAGTCCAAACCCCTGGCCGCAAGCCTGTTTCTGTTAATTTAAGTTGAATAAATGAATTAATGATGGTTCAGTGCAGTTACTTTCAGCTGCTGTTTCCTTTGATCCTACCCTCATGGAATTTGACTACTATTTATTTATTTTGTATTCTCAGGTTTTAAAAGCAGAGTACTTTTCTCATTGGAAGGGAGAGCAACAGATGTTCAAGCTGGACATAGGCTGGCCTAAAACTCCAGAAGACTTCACTGGTCAAACATTTTGTGTTGCTGTTGATTCTCTCCATGGGTTGGTCTATGTAGGACAAGTGAGTGGGAATACAGTATTTCTCTCTGTGCTATTTTTGTGTTCTTTTGCCTTTAAAGCATCTGGTTAAGGTTAGGATATATATGTGTATGTTTGCTTAAGTATATTTTCATATTTATATACGTATGAATAATTATTTTATCAAACTCAGAAAATATAAGCAGAACTGTCTCTGCTATTTCTGTTTTTGAAAGCAGTTCTGGCACAGTACTTTTTTGCGGTTTTTTTTTTAAAGCATTACATCTCTGTGGTATAAATGCATGATCCAACTTAACTTACAGCAGCTTGTTCCCTCACTTGTAAAATAAAATGTGATTCTGAGGCAACTGAATCTTCCATTGTTTGAGGCCTTGTCCCATAAAACCAAAACTACACAGATCTTTCAACCAGTTAAAGTAATTGGAGTTAAATTTTTTCCTCTACCCAGGTCCACGTGTGAGTATCTCTAGGCCATGGCTAAGACATTCTCTCCATGGGATGTGGTGGGAATTTCTTGTAAAGCACAGTATGAGTACTTGAGTGCCATGCAGTTAATAAGCACTGTTGCAGTTTTTCACGGCCATTACATTGGGCACACTTTTTAGCAGGAACACAAAATCACAGTTCAAGCTGAAGACCAGGATAGCTGCAGGCACTTTACTGCTCTGAAAGCTGGACTCTGTGTGATGTAAGATGAAAGTCTAGACTGACTGGAAAGTTTTTGATATTAAATTTAGACCCTTATCTCTTTTTCCTTTTCTAGCTGGAAAGAGACTTCTGGCAGACAATTATGTCAGGAGATTCTTTCAATTCATGAAACATTGCAAAAACTTCTCAAAGAGGAATTTTAAACTATAAGCTTACTTACTTAATATGTTTTCTTTAGAACTTTTTTTGCCTTTTCAGAGGGGAGACAATGTACCGAAGGTACTTGTATTCTCAAAAGAAGGCTATTTACTTCACTCCTGGAATGATACAGTTGAAATGCCTCATGGTATCTTTGTATGGAACACTGAAACAGGAAGTTCAGTATGGATCACAGATGTTGGAACAGGTATGCATGGTGGTGATATAAGAAATATTTGGTGGGGAAGAAAATGTAATATTTCTTTAAACAACTAATTTATTTAAGTCTCTCAAGCAATTCTGAGATAGATTTGCTCTTTTCTTGCCATGAACAAACTTCTCAGGTGCTGCACAAAATAGTCTGAAGTTTCATGAGTTGTGCTGTGTGTCTGCTTACAGCTGCTGAGCTTGGTCAGCACTTCCCTGCTGCCAGAAGTATCAGGGAAAAAGGCTGATAGACCTAGGTTCAGTGACCCTAATACAGTGGATAAATATTGTTATAGCCTATGGATTTCCTAACCCACTACCATAATCTCATTATAGAATTTTGTCTGTTAAATGTATTAATACCACTTTTGAGTATCACATTTTTGATCTTTGCAGTCAGTTTTAATACTTATATTTTGTTTGCTAAGATGTTTTTGCACTTCCTTCTTTTCCTTGATTCAGGGAAATACGGACACACAGTGAAACAGTACAGCCCTTTGGGTAAACTTCTGCAGGTCTTGGGCACACCCGGTAATGCTGGTTCAAGCTTGATTCCCCTGCAGTTTGATCAACCAGCAGAGATCTTTGTGGAGGAAACTGGAGAAGTCTATGTTGTTGATGGAGATGGAGGGATGAACAACAGATTGCTGAAATTATCAGATGGTATGGAAAAAGGAACTGTTGCAGTTGGATTTTAAAATTGCATGTCTTGGGAATACTTTCAAGCGAGTATTAGGCAGAACTGTCATTTAACTTTAGTTTGGAGACCTTATTGAATCAGCTTCTGCTTTATTCCTTGTCACTTCAGGAGAAATCTCCTAGTCATTCATGAGAAGAGGCTGAGCGAGTGACTTTGTTCACTCTCTAAGAAAGCTAAGGGGGATTCTTACTGCTGTCTTCAAGTCAGCAAAAGGAGGCTATAGAGAAGAGAGAGACACACGTTTCTTGGAGATAGACAGTGAAGAATGAGGAACACAGAGCAAAATATTCAAGAAGGGTAAATTTCAGAGGGTTTTTTTTGTTAGAAAACATTCAGAACAAGCATGGTCAGGCAGTGAATGACAGGGTGGCCCAAAGATGATTTGCACTCTCCATTCCTGTAGATGTTCAAAAGCTGATGAGTTATGGGCAACTTGATCTAACATCAGAGTTGGATTTTTTTATCAAGGCTAGTCCTGCTTTGAGGAGCAGGTTGGACCAGACAGTGTCTGAAGACTTTTATACTTAAATCGTTCTATGATTTTAATTAGCTTACTCCTCAGTTAGGACAGTTACTAAAGAGTCTGCACATGCCCACAGTTGGAGTAAGTGGAGGAGCTACTGTTTCTCCATTGTGCTATCATAAAGTAGATAGTTTCCTAATACCTAGTGTGCAAAATGGCAAATTGTTAAAAGTAAAAACTTCTGGGTAAGAAATGTTAAAAATCAATTTAGGAAACAAGTGAATAGATAGAATAATCAGCCAACTTTTTTTTTTTTTTCCAGTGCTTAAGAGAACCTTGGATTCTGGCTCTTGTGTATTACTGGCTACATATTTGTAACCATAATCCTGTAACCACTAATAATAATCCAGTAGTCACTGTAGTAGTCATGTTTTCTCTCAGATTTATGTATTGGGAGAACAGTGTTTAAACAGTTTAGAAGTCTCACCCTTTACAAATTACCCAAAGTAACCTTGCAATGACTTAAAATGACTTAAAAGCTGGTTTATTTGTTGTTTTCTCACTATGATTTTTTTGACTTTTATTTTTCACGGTGCTCACTGTTCAGATTACAAAGAGATATGGCTGACTGGAACAAATGGGAGTGGCATTGGTCAGTTCAAGATTCCTCACAGTGTAACAGTGGATGCTTTTGGACGGGTAAAGAACTAAGGAAATTTTTTAATTTCATCTTACA